GTGTGTGTGTGTGTGTGTGTGTGTGTGTGTGTGTGTGTGTGTGTGTGTGTGTGTGCGGTCTGGGGGGGAAGGGTGGTGACTCTGCCACTTCCTGGGGGTGTCTGTCACTGGGTCTCACGCTCCTTCACAGCCCCCCCTCCCCGCCCCGCTCCTGCTGGTTACCCTCGGCCTCTCCCACCGGGTATTGCTGAACCAGCCGATTGCAGCGTTTTCTGCCCGTTCTCCGCACCGCCCGCAGGTGGGAATTGGGGGTGGGGCAGAGCTGGGAGGTTGACCCATTGGCTGGATGTTCCCAAGTCACCAGAAACCAAAGTGTTAACAGTACGGCCCTGTTGTCAGTAGGGACCAGAGTTAACATCACAGACACAGGGATAGGGCAGCTGTTGGCTCTCCCAGAGCAATTGGCTCAGGCTCTCTGCAGAGTCAGGCAGCGCTGCTCATACCTGGGTCACATTTTCAGGGTTTTCTGTGAGGCCTCCCAGCATGCACTGGGCTCCCAGAGCGAGGGGTCTCCCTGAGGGGGCCCACGGCAGAGACAGACGTGCTAAGGCTCAGAGAGGTGCGGCTCCAGGAGGTGGAGGGGCCTGACCCCGGGAGAGAGTGGACCCCCGAGAAGGGCTGTCGCACTGAAAGGGGCACCCCCCACAGACCGCACGGGGCCAAGAGTGGGCCCGACCTGTGAGTCCGTGACAGCCCGTCCACGAGAGGAGAAAGGCGTCCGGGATCGAGCCCGGCTGTGGTTCAGGAAGGAGCAGAAATGCTGACACTGCTTGTTGCTCCGTGTCGTGAACGGATTGATTTGGGGAGCGCCCCACCTCTGGAAGATATTGCTGACGATGTCTGGGCGGAGAGACCACGCGTGGCCATGAAAGGACCTGCTGAGGCGATCGGCCAGTTTGTTTTGAGAGCCCGGCAGATACGACGCCTCCAGCTTATCGAGTGGGCGATGCAAAAGTCCCACAGCCCGAGGGCTTCCTGGCTCAGGGGAGAGGAGTGGGCACCACCCTGTCTGTTTATATAGAACATTGCTGTGGTGTTGTCTGTCAGCACCGATACACATCTGCCCTGGAGCTGGGCCCGAAACGTCTGGCAAGCGAGACGCGCCGCCCGTACGTCCCTGACATGGACGTGCAGTGATCGTTCCGCCTGGGACCATAGACCCTGAGGTTGCCCATGTGCGCTCCCCACCCCAGCGCCGACGCATCCGTGACCAGCGACGGCAACGGCTGGGGTTTGGAGACAGATGTTCCTGCACAGGCTGGTTGTGAATCGAGCCACCACTGGAGGGACTCGAGAACCCGAGGAGTGAGCGTGACCAGTCTGCCTGGATGGTCCCGGTTCTGCCTGTGCACATGGGGCAGCCACGCCTGCAGGGGATGGAGCCGCAGCCTTGCACGCTGCACCACGCAGGTGTGAGCTGCCATATGTCTGAGCAATTGTAGGTCATTTCTGGCCGTCATGGTGGGGAGCCGGTGGAGACCTTCCATGCTGGCCCTCTTAGCTAGAAAACGAGACTCGGGCAGGAACGACCTGGCCTGAGCAGAGTCCAAGGGGGCCCTGATGAATTCTATTCTCTGAGTGGGGATTACGGTCGACTTCGCCACATTGAGGATGAGACCGAGTCTGAGGAACGTCGCACGCACCAGGTTCATGTGTTCCTCCACCTGGGCTCGGCACCAGCCCTTGATGAGCCAGTCGTCCAGGTATGGGAAGACTTGCACCTGATGCTTTTGAAGGAAGGCTGCCACGACCGACGTGCACTTGGTGAACACCCAAGGGGCCGCCAACAGGCCGAAGGGGAGGCCCGTGAACAAATCACAGAAAACGTCTGTGTGATGGGATTATGGAGACGTGGAAGTGCGTGTCCTTCAAGTCGAGGGCGGCGAACCAGCCCCCCAGATCCAGGGAGGGAACGATGGAAGCCAGGGAGACCATGCGGAACTTCAATTTCTTCATGAATCTGTTCAGGTTTTGCAGGTCTAGAATGGGCCTGAGCCAACCCTTGGTCCTGGGGATTAAGAAGTAACAGGAGAAGAAACCCCTGCCCCTGAACTCCAGAGACACCTCCTCGACCGCCCCGAGCTGTAGGGGCGTTTGGTCATGAGAAGGGTCCCTGAAGAGGGACCGGGAGGGCGGGAGGGAACAGAATTGGAGAGAATATCCCAGTTCTACTGTGCTCAGAACCCAGCGGTCTGAGGTGATTTGAGGCATTTCTGGGAACAGTCAAAGGGCAGGTCCTGGATTGTGTTCTGGATCTCATGAGGGAGCCGTATCAAATAATATACTTCTCTTTCCGAATTTATCCATTTCATACATGATTCTTATATCTTATCAGTATGAATTCCTATGAAATTAGGAGGTTTCAAGGCATATGAAATGTGTTTCCTAATAATTATACGTAGAATAAGTTTTGCTGAAATGCAAGAAGCCGACCGGCCTGTATCCAGTAAGACCCGCTAAATAGCTAAAAGTATGATCAGTTAAGAGTAAGTCAGCACAAAAGCTGGCAACCTTTGGCACAGATAGAAATGGTCCCTGAACTTTGGGGAACCGAAGGGAGGAATTACACACACTGCCGGGTACACCACAAACCTGGAAGTCACCAAGAGAGCCTAGGTTGGCAGTTTTTGGAGTGGGGTAATATGAAAGAGTAAGTGTCATAATCCACTAACCTATAGGATAAGGGTACCCATAAATTCCTTAGGGTATGGAAACAAGATTTGGGTACAGTAGGTTGGGCCTGAATTACATAGTGTCAGGATCCTATAAAATACCATGTAAGGATACCTTAGGGAGCTTTATATCTACCTATCATTCTATTTTCCATCACACTATCAGCTCAGGTTGTGCATTCCTAACCACGGGGGAAGCCAGCACCATCGTGTTATCGGGCATGCCAAGAGTGAGGCTGGTCCTCCACCTCTGTGACGAAGTGGGACTGTTCTTAATGTTTCCTCTGAATACTGTGTGGGTGCCTCAGTTTCCCCTTTGCATTTCTTAAGTCTCTAGTGGTGGGATAAAGACCCGTGCGCATAAATGGCCGACACTCTGTCTCCCTGGCAACAAATGGCCGGGGCCCTTCCCCCCCTACAAGGAAACAGCTAAAGGTGAACAAAGAGATCAGGTGACCTCCTGGCCAGGGAAAGAGACAAAGGCCAGAAAGGAGGGGCTGGAGGGGGTTTCAGTTTGGGGCTGGCTGGGGACTAGGAGGGAGGGCAGACGGGGGTGTCTGGCTCTTTGAACCCCATAATGGACCCGGCGGAGGGGTCCCGTTCGCTGGACCTACGAGCTCTGTTTTAGACCGTGTTCCTAGCATCTAATAAACCTCTGTGTTACTGGCTGGCTGAGAGTCACGTCTGACTGCGAAGTGGGGGGTGCAGGACCCTCTGGCTGCCCCAGGACCCCGCCTGGGCGGACTCGCTGTGGGAAGCGCACGGAGGGGCATATGCTGAATGCTCCCAGGAGAGACCCAGGAGGTGAAGCCGTGTGAGCTCCTTGCCCTGAAGACAGTCTGCTCCGAGGGAGAGGAGGCTCCCCAGAGTCCTGACTGGCTTTGTGGGGAGCAGTTCCAGAGCATCGCCCGGGGACTCCGTGACAGGGGCAAAAGGCAGGAACGGGGGAAGTGGAGGGGGGGAGCGGAGCTGGCACAAAGCACCTCCCTTGCCCGGTCCAGCGCAGGTATGGGGCACAGGGTACGGCCCCTTTGGCACCGTGCTCCCTGTTTCCTGACAGCCCTGCCTGCCCCCGGGGGGAGGGGGACTCACCTGCCCTCCCCACCCCCCACTGCACCTTCACCTGGAGGCCGTGTCGAACTCTGGTCCCTGCTGCAACAGGGAATCTGGACACAGGCTGCGCAGATGTCTACAGGGCCCCCGCTGGCTCCCCTGCAGATCTGGTTCTGGGAGGCGCTGGGGGGGGGGCACAATGGGGGGGTCAGGCAGGGCACTGTCGGGAGGCAAACCAGACTCACAGCAACCAAAGCCAAACCCCAGAGCCCCCCAGGCAGAGCAGGGACAGGGCAGGAGACTCAACCGGCAGCTGGACCCCGACACTGACACAGCAAAGGACAAGCTGGTCTCCCCAGTGACCGGCGCTAAACACCCCCCAAATCCCCCCCACCTACCTCCCCTGCACCCACCCCTGCCACCCCCGACTCAGCTCACGGTGATCCCCTATCATGGGGCGGGACTCACCCCTGCGGCGCCTCCTGCTGGTTGTCCTGCGCCCGGGCCATGGGGGGACTGTGCCCAGAGCCCCCAGCCTGCAGGGACGGCCTGCGCCCAGAGCTGGGTTATAACACAATGGGGGGCAGGGGGCAGGGCCCAGCTGTGGGTCTGTAATTGCTGAACAGACATGCCCACGGAGGTCGCGTGTGGGGCCTTTGCTCTCGCTCTGCTCCCCCTTTGCCCCCCCCCGGGCCGTGTGATGCTTCCCGGGGTGCTGGGCTGTGAGGCCCCTCGCGACCCCCTGCGCCAGCCCAAGGAGCCTTGTCTGGTCCTGCCGGGGGTCACCTCCCCGACCCCCCCCCCCCAGGCATCACAACCTCCCCTCAGCCCTGGGCAGGTCAGCGATTGGCACCCCCCAACCACTTAGCAGCCCCCTGAGTGCCCAACCCCTGGCACTGCCCACTGGCCGAGTTCCCAGCTCCACCCCAAGGCCCAGAACCCCCAGCTCAGCAGTGACCCCCAACCCGCGCCCCGCTCGGCCCCGGCACGGCCAGGCGTTACAGAGAAAACCAGGCTGAGTTTATTGCCCAGAGCCCAGAGCTGGGAGAAGGAGCCGCTGGAGTTAATGGGACAATGGGTGAGATGGAGAATAAACTGGGAACGCGCTTCCCAGCGCCCCGACGTCCCGAACCCACCCCTGGCAGCTCCTGTGGGGTTCAGCTCCCCCCAGCGTCCGGCTCCCCCCGACTCCCAGCCAGCCAGGCTCCGACGCTCCCTGCAGGAGACAAACCCACTGGCAGCTGCTCCCCTCGGGGCAGGACCCTGGGTGCCCCCCGTGTGACATTATTGACATAAACTATGTCCGTACAGATCATTGGTGCAACCAACCACTGTTATATATTTACACCTAATCTTGTACAAAGGCGGTCCAGCGAGATGTCTATGGAAAGGTTCTGGTTTGCTGGTTATGATGATGCTGTCTGTAGGTGTGAATCATCTGGTAGTTGAAGTTATGAATTTTGGCTCTGTCCTTGTACCTCAAATGTATTTGATTCCAAGTAGCCTCAGGGAAGCATGTGGTTGGCTTCTTGAGAAGGGGCTATTCTCAGTAAGTGCGCAGTCAAGAAATACTTAACCGACAATGGACTTTGGGAGACGCCCCAATCCACATCTGAGCTTTCCTGGGAACCTTCAAACTAACATGGAAACAATGGCGTCGGCCTGTAAACTGAGTCATGCATGGACATGTGACTTGCCCATGTGACTCCAGACTCCATCTTACTGCTGTGATTTTCCAAGTAAGAACAAAGGGGCGTCCTTCCATGGGCAGAGACTATAAAAGGCCCTGGAAACCCTCCATCTTGTCTTCAATCCACTTCTGAGTTCTGGAGGAACCTTGCTATGTTCTTATGTTCTTCTTATGTGCTACAAACTGAAGCTCTGAACAAAGGACTGAAGGACCCATCCCAGCTGGGGATGTTTGTACTCCAGAGACTTGATTTGAACCTGCAGTTTGTTCTATCGCTGCTACAAACCTGAACCAAGAACTTGGCCATTACTGGATGTCATTGATTCCATGTAACCAATTCTAGCTCTCATCCAGATCTTTTTCCTTTTATGAATAAACCTTTAGATTTCAGATTCTAAAGGATTGGCAACAGCATGATTTGTGGGTAAGATCTGATTTGTACGTTGACCTGGGTCTGGGGCTTGGTCCTTTGGGATCAAGAGAACCTTTTCTCTTTTACTGGGGTATTGGTTTTCATAACCATTCGTCCCCATAACGAGTGGCACTGGTGCTGATACTGGGAAACTGGAAAAAGAACAGGAGTACTTGTGGCATCTTAGAGACTAACACATTTATTTGAGCATAAGCTTTCGTGGGCTACAGCCCACTTCTTCGGATGCATAGACTGGAACACACAGACAGAAGATATTTATACATACAGAGAACAGGAAAAGGTGGGAGTCGCCCGACCAACTGTAAGAGGCCAATCAATTGAGATGAGCTCTCATCAGCAGGAGAAAAAAAAACCTTTGAAGTGATAATGGAGATGACCCATAGAAGGTGTGAGGATACTTAACATGGGGAAATAGATTCAATTAGTGTAATGACCCAACCATTCCCAGTCTCCCTTTAGACCTAAGTTAACTGTATCTAATTTGCATATTAATTCAATTCAGCAGTCTCTCTTTGGAGTCTGTTTTTGAAGTTTTTTTGTTGCAAAATTGCCACCTTCAGGTCTGTCACTGAGTGGTTAGACAGGTTGAAGTGTTCTCCCATTGGTTTTTGAGTATTATGATTCCTGATGTCAGATTTGTGTCCATTTATTCTTTTGCGTAGAGACTGTCCGGTTTTGCCAATGTACATGGCAGAGGGACATTGCTGGCACATGATGGCATATATCACATTGGTAGATGTGCAGGTGAAAGAGCCCCGATGGCATGGCTGATGTGATTAGGTCCTATGATGGTGTCACTTGAATAGATATGTGGACAGAGTTGGCATTGGGCTTTGTTGCAAGGATAGGTTCCTGGGTTCGTGTTTATTTTGTATGGTGTGCGGTTGCTGGTGAGTATTTGCTTCAGGTTGGGAGGTTGTCTGTAAGCGAGGACAGGTCTGTCTCCCAAGATCTGTGAGAGTAAAGGATCATCTTTCAGGATAGGTTGTAGATCTCTGATGATGCGCTGGAGAGGTTTTAGTTGGGGGCTGAAGGTGACGGCTAGTGGTGTTCTGTTATGTTCTTTGTTGGGCCTGTCCTGTAGTAGGTGACTTCTGGGTATTCTTCTGGCTCTGTCAATCTGTTTCTTCACTTCAGCAGGTGTTTTAAGAATGCTTGATAGAGATCTTGTAGGTGCTTGTCTCTATCCGAGGGATTGGAGCAAATGCGGTTATATCTTAGAGCTTGGCTGTAGACAATGGATCGTGTGGTGTGTCCTGGATGAAAGCTGGAGGCATGTAGGTAAGTGTAGCGGTCAGTAGGTTTCCGGTATAGGGTGGTATTTATGTGACCATCACTTATTAGCACTGTAGTGTCCAGGAAATGGACCACTTGTGTGGATTGATCTAGGCTGAGGTTGATGGTGGGATGGAAATTAATGAAATCATGGTGGAATTCCTCAAGGGCTTCTTTTCCATGGGTCCAGATGATGAAGATGTCATCAATGTAGCGCAAGTAGATTAGGGGCATTAGGGGACGAGAGCTGAGGAAGCGTTGTTCTGAGTCAGCCATAAAGATGTTGGCATACTGTGGGGCCATGCGGGTACCCATAGCAGTGCCTCTGACTTGAAGGTATACATTGTCCCCAAATGTGAAATAGTTGTGCGTGAGGACAAAGTCACGAAGTTCAGCCACCAGGTTTGCCGTGACATTATCAGGGATACTGTTCCTGACGGCTTGTAGTCCATCTTTGTGTGGAATATTGGTGTAGAGGGCTTCTACATCCATAGTGGCCTAGATGGTGTTTTCTGGAAGATCACCGATGGATTGTAGGTTCCTCAGTGTAGACACCTCAGTGGTGTCTCGAAGATAGCTGGGAGTGCTGGGAGTGTAGGGCCTGAAGAGAGAGTCCACATAGCCAGACAATTCTGCTCTTAGGGTGCCAATGCCTGAGATGATGGGGTGTCCAGGGTTTCCGGGTTTATGGATCTTGGGTAGCAGATAGAATACCCCTGGTTGGGGTTCTGGGAGTGTGTCTGTACAGATCTGTTCCTGTGCTTTTTCAGGGAGTTACTTGCGCAAACTGGAAACTGGAGTGTCTGAGGGAATGGCTTGTGTGACTTGTGGTTAGCCAGTGGGGTGAGACCGAAGTCCTCTCTGGCTGGCTGGTTTCAGAGTAGGAGCCGTGTTAGTTCTCCTCGGTCGGGCTGGCTGGTTTGGTGCCTTGGAGGTGGAGAAACGCCAGCCTTGGGCTATAACTGCCCTGCTCTGAGCAATTTGTCCTGAATTGATCCTCTCAGTCGTGTCACACCAGAGGCAGCATCGTTACACCCCGCACCCCGATAGCCCCCCCAAGCCAGCATCTGTCCTCAGAAACACGCCCCCCCCTGCCCCGGCACTGGGCACTTTTCCCTCCCGGCTGCTTCCCTGGGGCTGGTGCAGACGCTGCTGGGGCCTGGCTCCGGGTGGAACCAGCCGCCTGGCGAGCTCGGCACCACCCAGCGCCCCCGGAGCCGGGCACAGAGAGAATGGCCCGGTGCCTCCTGTCTGCCAGGGACGGGCCTGGCGCCTCCCGCTGCCCGGCTGGAACCAGCCCCTGGGACCCAGGCCAGACACAGCTCCGTCCGTGCCCCCGGCACACGGCTCACCACAGTCACTGCGCCCAGCGCTGCCGGCCCTGGGCAGGGACCTCCCGAGCCCCTTTGGGGGCTGGAGATGTCAGAGCCGGGGCCCCGAGAGCCCCTCAGTGCCCTGTGCCCTCCGCCAGGGGTCCCGGGTCCCGGCTGGGTGGGTCAGCATCGCTGCTCACAGCTCTGCAGGGGAGAACTGCCCCGGGGAGGGGAAGACGCGGGGCCGGGCGCTGGGGGAGGGTCGGGGGGAAGCCCTGGGTGGGGACAACTGGCCCTGGTTTGGGGGCAGAAGGGGGCGTCACTTCTTCAGTTCCTCATACATGTTCAGCTCTTGGGGCTGCAGCGTCTGGGGGAAACGGGGATGAATCAACCAGAGACGCCCCAGGGGACAGCTGGGGACCCCACCCTGCAGGACCCAGTTCCCCAGCTCCCCCCATTGGCCCCAAAGCTCCTCCCATCCTGGAGGCCCATCCCTCCCCCCCAGTGCTGGCCCCCCCAGCCCCTCCCCTCAGCCTTGGGGCTCCCATCTGGTCCCCCTTTGGCTCACTCTGCCCCCCCCCCCCGCTCTGGGATGTGATAACCAGTCCCGTTCCCAGCCATTGGGCTTGTTGGGGGGCAGCTCCCCCCTCCCCCCACTGGGTCCGAACCCCCCTCATGAGCGCAAGGGGCTCACCTGGTACGTGGGGCTGGGGTCAGGGGGGCTCCTGGGCTGGGCCTGGGGGAGGCAGAGGCAAGAGAGTTGTTAGCACCAGACCCCAGAGACTCCCCAGCTGAACTCGGGGGGGTCCCTGGGACAGTCAGTGGGACCCAGGGTTTGTGTAACCCCCCCCACCCCTGCTCCCGCCCAAAGGGGACAGGGTAAACTGGCTGGGGGGTTGCAGGTCGGGACTGAGGGACACCTGCAGAGGAGGGGGCGGGACTGAACTAGCAGGGGGTGGGGCTGAGCCCCTGTCACTCACCACTGGCCCCACCCAGGCTGTCGGGGGCAGGTTCTCGTACA